AATGAATGTCTTTTGCGATCCGGTATCGATAAGGACGCGTGCTTGGCAACTCGTAGCTAGTCCGCTTGCTGTGACCAGTGCAGTTTGCATTAGTGTATTTGTATGTGTCGTTGTACTTGTTAAGGTTGTCATTTCGGACGTGACGTGTTTGCTGTTTTGTGAGTCTTCTTGTTTTTCGTTTCTCTTGCTTGAATCACGATTAGGCTCGCTGGGTTCACAGATCGACGTATGGTGTTTTAGCCCGCAATTTAGACATCTTCCTTTTGAGCGACATTGATACCTTGTGTGGCCTGATCGGAGGCAGTTAAGGCATTTATTTTTCTGCGCCAATATGGTCTTTCTCTCTTTTGTTGATTTTACTTTTGAGCAATTGGTGTGACGGTGTTTAACGTCGCAATATATGCATGGTTTTAGCTCAAATCTCCCATTCGTATCGGAGCCTTTTGGTGGCTTGTGTATTTGGCGCGGTTGAGTGTTTGCGAGTAAGGCACCAACTGTGGGTACGAGCACGTCGTCGACGACTGAGCTTGTGTCGTTTTCTGGCGTAAGTTGACTCTTTTCCCTTGTTTCTATTTCATGACAAAGCGCTGCTTCTAAATCATTTAGGGAGCAATCTGCCTGAGAATTTGTTCTGAATATTGTACAACGTAATTGTTCCGGTAACTTCTTTAGCAGAATTGGAATTAACAGACTTCCATATGAATCTGTCTGGACTCCCAGCGTTTCTAACGCGCGAATGTTGCTCTCGCAGCTATCGTAAAATTTTCGTAGTTGATGCACATCAGTTGAGGGCGCGCTGATTTTTGAAAGCGATTCCATATGTCCATTTTCTCTAGAATTTTCGTTAAGTCCATCATAAAGCCCTCCATGAATGAAAGATAGGGTGTCAGTCACTCTTATTAGGGCCCATTGTACCCGAGATAACTTTTAGTGCGTCCTAAAAAATTTCCTTTTTCAGATTGTGGTCGAATGCGTCGAGATGTCATTAAAACTATTTTATATATTACCCCTACAGCTTTATAGGTTTACAGGAGAGTCTGAGTATTTGTTGGACCAAAAAGAGTGTTTAAGACTTGGAGACTTCATGCGTAAAACTGGTAAGTCACTTGAGTTCGTGGAGTGAATTGCTAAACAAACTAAAGCCAGCTTTTGAATCCAAAGGCTAACGGTGAGAAGTTAGTTCTCAAATTCTTAATGATAATTAGCATATACTAAAACAGGGGATAACGTTGAAGGCGCGCTCTGATTGGCTACACAAACTCCGAATATCCTTTCCTATTCACCTCAGAGCAATGTGCATAGGGTTTGCGCCTGAAAAAGTTATAGTTTTTGTAAGAATAAATGAGTCAAAACGATACTTTAGCCTGTATATTGTTTCACTGTTTTAGTTTATAATTAATCAATTATTTACCTCGGTGTCGATGGCTATTGATTTGTACCGCCTCGCGGCTAGGTACAACTGTGGATATCCACCGCTACCTATCTTCACCTCGGAGAATAGTTGTTGAATTATTTGAAGTTCAGGCTTACCAAAATTTTTTAGTGGTAAAGTAAAGTAAGTAAGAAAAATAAGATGGATTAAATTTTATTTGAAGGATAATTCTTAGTTTAATCAAGTGGTTTCGTATTAATGAACGGTTCGATATAGGGGAAAGACAACAAATTAAGAGGTGACCACAACTTCTCAGTACCGGACGACTGTATTGAGCACTGTATGTTCATTGTACTAGGTATCACCGCAATCCGCCAGGAATTCTAATTGGTGTTATCTGCATTCAAAACTGCTTGATAAGGACGGAATTAAAATATTGTGATGGCATACCTAACATTTCTTGAGTCAACAATATTGCATAAGACTAGTACACTTCAGTTGCAGAATCGCATTAGAAGGTTAATATCATTTATAATCATTGTAGTTAGGATAGTACGCTCGGAAATCCGCCACGTTCCCGAGGCCACAAATATGATAACAATACTACATACTGAAAGGTATAACTCAGCAGGTTCTCGCAATATCGTATCAGATAGAAAAAATCAATCAATAGTCATTATAATTCATGTGATACGCACAGAAATCAAGTGTGTTCATCGAAGGAACAAATGTTATATTCAATGGCTCCGTTAGGTTTATCAGTTTAACGAATTAGCATCATCTTATCTTGTTTGGTCGTGTTTCTGACTCATTCAAATTGTTTATTGAGTGACTCAGTCGGCGAACTCCAGAGGCTTACTAGTTTGACGCGTGGAGGGAAAACAGCCAACTATTCCCTTATTATATCTTTCCTGTCAGAAACACGTTTTTTGGGTCCACCAAATGTTAAAACAGTTTTCGTGAAAATTTTCAATTTTTTGGCTACAATCTGAATGTGTTATCTTTTTTGACGCACGATAAGCTATTTTCCGGAACAACGAGCGCCAATTGAGAGTAGTTGAGTCTAGACCATCATTTATGATGAACTCAAATATGGAATTATATACAACTGGACGCATATTTACGTGCAATCAAGGTTTTCTGTTGGAAATAAACTTTCTTTGTGCCTACATTTGCAATTATTGGTTTATCCTGTAACTTTTTTCTGTCTTGGTTTGCCAGAGATGCACATTTTTTCAGATGTGTACGCAGAGAGCTAAAAACAGCAATTGTAATGTGCTGTGAAGACCCTTTTTTCGTGCATATTATATTGGCTATTATATCAATACTTGTTACTAGACACTATTTCTAATTATTTATTTTTTTGAGTTTTGATTTTACTAAATTTTGTTTTGCCGGTTAAGAAGTTTGAGCAGGGTGAGTCATTCGCTAAATAGGCTGTCAAAAAGATTCCAGGCTGAGATAGCTCTTAATCATATATTTGTGGTTTCATTCACACTGTTTTGATAGACGATCCTATTTTGAATATTCTCAATTTATACTTCTCTCATTTCAAATATGTCATTGTTATGTATATTCTGAAAGTAACGTATTAAGCACTTCGAGAAGAATACATATACTTTGAGGCTGCCCTCTACCATACAAATCTCTAGCATGAGAACATATCAGTTTGCTACAAGAAAACAATGTTAAATATCGACTGGCAGGACATTTTATATTTCTTATACTTTGACGAATTCTTTCACGACAGTGAAACTTAAACGTCGTTTTATTTAACAGTTTTTTAGCATTTACATAACAGTACAATTTAGATGACATGCGAATGCAGGAAGTAATACGGGTATAGATAAATCCTCGACCTTTCTGCTCTTGTTTCTTTAACTTTTCAAACTTTGTGTTGGTATTCTCCTTGGTTCACGATCATGTCTGCATACACCATGGGGTTTGCGTTTATCCTTCTCTTGATTAACATTAGATAGCTCAGTTGATATAGCATGTTTCTCGATGAAGGTTCACTTTCGTTCGCTCATAAAGAGATCTCTCATAAGGTTTGCGGACCGACCCGCTCCGAAAAAGCTCATTATTTTTTAGTGTGAGTCTACCGCGAGCGATTTGTAATTGAAGGAAAAAAGACAAAAAAAGAAAAAGAAAGGAAAACGGCCGGAACTTGGAAAGCCCGAGTAATACCGGGATACCAAAAATTTTGTCTCTGGTTCTGGAAGTTAAAAGCGCAAACATTTACAGTTAATTTTAATATTCGTCATTTTTTTTCCTTTTTTCTTTGATCCTTTAAAATTATGATGAGATTATTAAAAAAGATAAAAAAAAGCTTAGAGACGTCGTGAGTTTGCGCACTTGGTTTTTCCAGTTTGAGACTGGTGGGTGTCAAATCACTCGAGCTCCCTATCAGAAAGAGGCGCAAATTTATAACTTTATATCTTTTTCTTGTAATTTTTTTCGTAGATATTATGTTGCTTTTGGTTCTTAAGCATTTGATTGCCTGTACAATCATACAGTCTGAAGTAAAGTTCGCGTGTTGAAACTAGCCCGCAGTGCAGGCGTCTTGTTAGTGCAAGCTAACGCCAAAAGCTCGCGATCGTTTGTTCGACTGGCCATTTTTGATTTACAGTTAGGGTGGACGGGGGAGGGGAGAAAAGACGCCTGCCCGAATAGGCTGTTAAAATGCCCTACCCCCTAATTAGTTGCGCTTCACTGCATTTCCGGAAATAGGAAGGTAACCAATAAAAATGGTTCTATTTAAAGGTCGTTGACGATGACTTCCGGTAAACACAAACACGAGTGAAGTCGAGCCGCCATATCCAGCTACGTATAATGCTTAATGTCCGATAAGAGTGCGAGTTACAACTGTAGGCTTTGTTGAGTTTCCTTCAAAATTCAGTTCGGAAATCTCCCCAAGCAAAGCCACTCTTCATCAGAGAGTATTTTCAAACCTTCGAAACAGAAGGAGTGCTTTGGAGCTGTTTTGAGCGAAATTGTTCGTCAAGTTGGATTTTCCTTGGTGCAAGATAGCTCAAGATTTTTCGATCGTGTTTCTAACTCATGTGGCCGGAAGATTCGAAAGTTTCTGAAAACTGAAAAGAAATGATTTGGGGTCTTAAAAATTTGCATTATTTTGTTTGCTTACTGGAAAAATACACGTGCGAAAAGTCATTGTGCATGAAGGAGATTCAGGTCCCAGAATGTTTTGTTAACATACGAAGAAATAATTTGCAGGAAATACAACAAAAGGTCAGCTTTTTGAAGAGAGTAATGTTATTTAAGACAGGAAAATGTTTATCGTGAAAGGAAAACAGATTTGTTGATAAACCTGATGAAATTAAAGATGTTAATCTCTTTCGAATTTCTTCCAACTGATTTTCTTTCTTTGGTTTATTTTTCAGCTAACAATGGTACAATCTCTGAAAATGTTCCCAAAAATTATTACCCACTTTTTTGCAAAAGAGGCAACAACAAAAATGTTATTTTTGCACGTTATCTCTAACCTCTTGACAGCACAGGCCCCACAAAATGGTGCAGAACATCACAGCTCTTGACTTTTTGGGTCACTGTCAATACCGAGGGAAATAGTTTCAAAATCAAACCAGTTATTTACATTTGGTTCTCCTTGTAGAACTGAACTATTGGAATTTTCGAACATAGGTGCCAATGATTCTTCACAATTAGGAATGTCTGTGAACACTTCCTGAATCACTTCTAGTATTTTTAATGCATTTGTCATTGAAAATGCAGGGTAGTCAGAAAGTAAATCAACACAAGTGAAAATCTTCTCGAAGTCCCTTACCACATCCTCAATTAAATGCCTTGAGAAACCATGACAAGAGCTTTCATCTAATGCTAGTCCTTTACTTCTCATCTCATCTAGTGCTTCGATCAGTGCTTCTTTTAATGCCTTTCTATCCTGGTATGAGACTGGTCTGCATTGAGCTTTAGTGTCCTCCACTGCTGGCTCTTTTGCCTCCTCAAGTAGCAAGGTGGGTGCACAGCAACCCCTGCCCCACACTTACATAATTGAGAACAAAAAGAACAATAATCATGCCGTGGTTCAAGGGGCTGAATGGAATAATCCATAATCCTATAGGCAGGAACACGAAAACACCCTTCTGCACTGATAAGGTCTTTGACTTCCTGTTCACAGTGTGCAACTTGCTGTCCATTGAAAAGAACAATAACGTGCGACTTCTCTCCATCTCTTCCAGCTCTTCCAGCTTCTTGATGTTGGTCTAGGATGGAACGAGCTGGGCCCCAATTTATAAAATACCGAACATCTAGGAAGTTTACTCCCATACAAAGTGCTGTGGAGGCCACAACTACTCTTTTCACTCCTGAACCCTTGAACTGCTCCATCACTCTGTTTTTATTACTTCTCCATGAGTTAGAATGGTAAATTCCAATTAGACAGTTGTCCTGGACAGGAGAATATGCAGGAGAGAACATTTTCCTTCCTAGCTTCGACATTATGTAATTCGTGATAAGTGCTAATTCATTTATTGTGCTGCAAAACGCAATTGTCTTTGGACACTCTACCCCCTCATTTCTCAACAGGGTAATAAGCCAGTCTAGCTCCTTTAACTGTTGGGGCTTTTTAACCCTCCACGCAAAAAACCGTAAATTATGGCGGTTGGGACTAACGTTAATGCATTTCACATCTTATGCAAGATCAAGGACCTTATTTATTGTATCTTGAGCAATTGGGTCTGCCGTCCCCGTAAGTACCTTAAAATAGGAACGGAGTAAGGATTAGCAACACTCACGGACAAAAGAAAGTAAGACAAAAAAGGGGAACATTAATTACAATAGAATAAATCTTAACGATATTTCAGCTTAGCAGCCACTAGGTATTCCACCGTATGAACATAAATATGTAATTAATGGTCTGGAGTTCACCATGCAAATCGGGGTTTTTTAACGAATGTGTTTAAATTAATAAAATAACCTCGTGAATATGGAAAAGTGTGCAACGCTCATTTGCACGAATCTGTTACCTTGCTTGCAAAATGAACGCAGTTGCCCAGGCTGACCAAAAGATTCACGGAACGCAGTGTTATTCCCTTTCTTCGACCCTCTGAATTCAGATAACAATAGTACTGTGATCATTTGCGAGCGGGCAAAGAAATGATGATCAAACTAAGCCTAAGCGTTGGAGTAAATAAATGAACCATATAAGAGTTTGACATCAATTTAAAATAGAATTAAGAGAACAAACCTTTGACCTGTACAAGTTTCCACAGTATACGAATCATCCACAATGATTGCACACATATTCTGATGAAACGGTGTGGCTGCGTTTTTAAATAAGGAAAGAAATGGCTTCGCTAAAACCTCCTCCGCTGACGCAAATACCAGGTTATATTTGTCGCACTCGACGTCCTTCAAACGACTCTTCGTAAGCGTAGCAGCCGTTAATCCCATGGAAGACGCTTCTTCCATTTGATCACACACAATACTCTGAAGCGGAAAAACGACAACTACGCTCGAAGTTGTCCCCGTCATTGTTTCTTTTACACGAACTAGTACCTGAAATATCAGACTTTTCCCAAAACCAATTGGCAACACGGCCAGCAGATGTTTTCCAGTAACCAGTGTAGCAATTACTCCTTTTTTGTTCCCATTTTAAAGCACGAGATATACCAAATTCCGAGACTCTTTAGTACTTCCTCGAGACCGAAATCTAACATAACTTCACGATCAGCCATCTTCCTCTCTCTCCAGTAAGAGCAAAATGTCACGCCGAAATGATTGACAGTGTGTCAACTCCCAAACCAATCAGGAACTCCGTTCGTGGGCGAACAGAGTGTGGCAAAATAACAATGACTTCGGGCAGGCGTAATCTTTACTCCCCTACCCTCACCCCTCTCCTTATTTTTGAAAGTCGACCGCCCCCTTGGTATAAATTTGTACTCTCCCCAGCGTTCTGTTGTCATTAAGATGGCGGCTACAATATTCGTTATGAAATTACTTGGCACCCGCTAGCCAAAATTACGCCTGCTCTGAAGGCTATGTTAAAACAAATGACGGTTTTTTGGCCATAATTCAAAAGCATGTTGTGATGAAATCCAGCTTAGTTTTCTTGGTGTCACATATTGCTAAATAGTTCTATTCAATATAAATGTCCGGAAATTCCACTCAGATATCGAATGGAATATAAATTTTTCGGAATCTTGTTTTAAAAATGATTTTCAAGCCCTCGAGGTCGTCTATTTTTGCGGAAATTTGCAAATTCCGACTATTAATTTAAACCAGTTATTTTATAGGTGATGTAGAGGACTTGATATAGCTAGCATCAATACAACTTTAGGAAATCAATTCTAACACGTGAGTAAAAATTGAAAGGATGGCTAGGTTCGTTTTATCATAGAAAGTGAAAACATACATAACGTTTTTAAAACATTAGTGACACACTTTTAAGATCTGGAAGTGAAATGATTGAAAGTGAAAGCTGACAGCTCTACGGTTCAGTTCCTTAATCTCGCCCGTCGGCTTTTTCCCCAGGGTATTCTATTTCTCAAAATAAAAAAAAAATATAAATCTCATTCAAATCTGACCAGGAGTGTATGTGACGTCTTGATCAGACTGATTAAATTAAGCCAAGAGTGTTATTGAGATGGATTAAGGGAGGTAAAGACTGGTTCGAGTAAGCAGCAAGCCGTTTTGCCAGTGAAAAGGATCAGAAAGAATTGGTCAGGAATAAGACGTCGATCAGTTTCACTTTTGCATTCAAATGAAACCATGATCCTGGAAGATGAAAGGAAATTTTTTTTTCTTTTTCAAATGTTAGAGGGGACTGACAGTTTGTTGGACAGACACCACGCTTGTGGCAAAGAAGTACGAGGTCATGAGGACTATGTATAGTGTGGAGACAGAGGTCAGGAAAGATTTATATTACAATTAAAGGATTGGTGATCAAATAACTAAAATGTCGTTTATCTCCCATATGCCGCGGAAGTCTATGATGGTAAAGAATCAAGGCGTAGTTTGGATTAGTCTCGAGAGTCACGAAACTAAAATGAAGATAAATGCTCTTATTGAGCACTTTGAAGTATTCGTCACAAAATAGATCAGAGGCCTAAAAGCGACAGATTTGTTTTTGTCAGTTCCATGAATAACTGTGAATGTTACAATGCAATATATTTTCTTATAAACATTACGATACTGTAAAGGAAAGGAACGATAAAATGGCACTATTAATTAAAGCTGACGCTAAAAAATCTTATTTGTTATCATATAATTATGGATTAAACCGGTCGTACTTTCACGAACGAGCTTTTAGGTGGTGTAATCACTGATATCCAGAATCCTGTGATATATTTCGTTGTAAATCATAGTATATGTTAACCTTTATATATCGAAAATAGAAACTGTAAATAATGTAATAAGGCGCAGTTTCGTGTAGCCTTAAAAGTCACTGTACCAGGCCACTTATCATTAGATATCTCCAACAATTTCATATATAGTAACAGTCATTGCAAAATACTTTACTGGCTTACAAATTATTTATTTCCCCTCGCCAGTTGCATGAATAGTTCTGATATTGCAATGTAAGAATAGTCCTTCAACCGCAGTACGTTATTGCATGAGCAGGAATGGTTAATGGTCTTATCAATTATCGTTGATTTTAAAAAATGACATCTGTCATCATTTACTTATGGATCTCTAACTTTTCACGGAAATGTTGTGGGGGCGTTCGCTTTTGAAACTCGTCCGAAATTAAGCGAGTTAGCAAAGCAATACAAATGAAATTAAGTTGATGCCACCAACTGAACTAGTGTGTAATTTATATCTGCTAATCAGAGAGGATTTAAGCCTAGGGGTACGGTGAGTAATCTAATTAGGCTACCACATCGGAAACAAAGCAGGTGGTCCTTTTCATCGCTTCCGAGAAATAAGACGAAAGATTACGCGTTTTATCATCTTAAAAGTTTTTCTTCCTAAAATTATTCGACACTGAGTGTACCATTCAAGGAGAGTTTAGTTTATTTTAAACTTGGAAATGCAAAGTATTATGCTATATTCCATTACCTTGTAGTTCTCCCGCCTTAACTTCAGATTGATATCGCTCCTCTAAAGTTACTCTAACAAAAAAAAGTAAATATAATGTCATCTGGTGACGTTAGAAAGACGGCTACAGATTGTTAAGCCGATTCAATCAGCGTGCACAATTAAAACAAAAAAAAGAGTTACAACTAAATTACTTAAACAACTTTTCTTCACCTATCCGCCATAAAGCAGACGCCATTAATTATTCGAGGATCTCGTGTTCGGTTCTAGAGAGTTGCCTCGTCATTTTATTATAAGCTTTGACAACGCGAGGGCACATAACTTGTGACTATGTCAAAGCATACCCAATTAAATGCACTCACCTGCAATGACAGTAAGAGAGCCATGCAATCACACCATAATCAAATCAATCAATCAGTCCATGCATATATTGATTAATTACTGAGGTCAGAGTATTTGATGAACTCACGTCCGAAGATATCATTCACTTAACAGTAAAGGAACAGGACTGACTCTTTCTAGCGGATTTTATCCGCGTTTAAGATAGCTCGTTAAGATCAGAATTAAACGAATAAGGAAAAATATGTAATAGAAGTGGCTTAAAACCTTCAAGCGCGGAGAAAAAATAGAATCTTTTCTTTCTTTTCTTTAATTACCCGGTGTCTGCCACGAAACATTTTCGTCCGGTTCAAGAAATACACTGATGCCCCAGGAAACAATTTTGGATCGAGAAGTAAGTGTTTAAATAATTTCGTGCAATTTTTCATGTTTGGCCACAATCCAAACAGCCTTCTGAATACATCTTTTTAGACGGCACAAAGCTATTTTGGGTTATGCACGCTCTGAACGGACTGCTAAAACGTTGATCAACCTTTCGTGTCACTGTTGGACTGTAGCAAAATACCAGAGATTCTGTCATTGGTTAAGAAAGACTAAAGTTCACATGGATGAAATAGAAGACTCTTCTTATCTTTTGCTAGGAAGATAAAATCAGCCGCAGATTGCCGCTACGTATACGACTTTACACGTTTGAGAACGGTTCAAGCGGACCTTACTGCTCGCAAGAGTCTGAAGACAGCATGCCCATTTGACCAAATCAGCCATAAACGAACTTGAGAAAACCACCGAACAAAGTAGACATCGACATTTTGGCGTCGGGCAAAACCAACCATCACTGTAAAATTAAAGAAACGTTGTGCACTCCTAACTAAGGACAACTTTTGAATCCCTATCAACCAATGAGAAACTGAAGCTTTACATCTTATTGATGATTACTTGTAATTCATGCTACCACAATTTTTATTTGCAAATATTTAATTGACATGTTAAATGCAAACCCCTATTATGAGGGTGTGCAAAAATAAAGGTTGCCGTTAATACTAATCTTCAAGTCTGAATAGGATAATTTTTTTTTGGTGTATAAACACTTCTTTGCTGGTGCAGTGGCGCTTACGTGCGTGACCTTGGCAAACTCTCTTGACAACTTCTCTCGAATAAATAAATTTTAATGAACTTGTCTTATGATCTCTCAAAAGGAGAACAGGATATTGATGGGCAATTAAGGTGAAGAGGAAACGTTAAGCATCGTTGAAATAGCATCATGGCGACGAAGGAGTAGGATTTCACACGACAAACACATGGATCGTCATTCCTTGAGACATGGATAACACACTTTGGATTCGTGTTCAAATTGCTCAAAATATGCCTTTGATGCATCCACAGGCACTCGACGGCTCGATAGCCGTAGAATCAGCCTCAAAAGACATATAGAGTGATTTGAAAAAGGGATGTTCTTATTCGGGTTGTGAATTTTTTTCCGCAACAGATATTTGAATCGGGAGAAACTACCATGCAACTGTTTCGAGGCATAATCCTATTTTGGCAACGCAGGGCTAAGAATTGAGACCAGACATTCTGTCCCTTTATCTTTCAATCACTCAATGAATTGATCGTGCCATCTTAAACCTATCTCAGGGGTTACATATGTTTATCCTACTCGGTATCACTGCAATCGAATGATTTTTATTCATTTAATCATTATCTGCCTCGATGGGGTTTTGAACTCACGTGACTCTTAAATGATAAAGTTTACTTCTAAATACGGCTAAAAGTTGTCAATAGTGACAAGATAACTATATATTCCATCTATGACCCAAAATTATCACACACGGTATACAATCCAAACCTTCTCACTTGATGTTTGTCAAAATCATTCTTTCGACATTTGTTCGCGTGATCCCGTTTTATGACAATAACTTGGTTATACGATATCTTCACTTGCCCTCATTTAATTGACACGGCTATCACTCTCTTTGTTACAAAATTGAGTAATCAAGGAATCAAAATCCTAAATACAACAAATAAGTCAAACATGATAGCTGAGGAATAGCATTCATCTCATAGTTTTGTTATTTGCATGCAAGACTGCACGATAAGAAGCGAATTGGAATAACGCCAATAATGTACATAACATTTCTTGGGTCAACAATAAGGTAATACAAAGATTTAAGCAAGCCTAAAAGCGGAGCTCGCATTTTTTTTTCCCGCACGTCTCTTCAGCAAAACTAGAGCCCCTACTATGGATGAAGTGCGTGGTTATATTAATG